TCACCATGATCGGATACTCCACCTTCCGCGCAAAATCGGCCACGGCACGCTCATCCCCGGTCGCTGCACCATCGCTTTCAAAACAGGCACGCCGCACTCCATAGCAAGCTGCTTCGCCCGCAACTTATCCCCCGTCTGCTCCAGCACCTCCCACCCGGGCCCAACAACCATACATCCGGCCTCCTCCCACATCCGCCGGCTGAACGCGGCGGACTCGCTGAGGAAGCCGTACCCAGGATGCACAGCATCGATCTTGTGCTCTTTCACGAGTTCCACCAGGTGGTCGATGTCCATGTACTGTGCTGCGGAAGACAGTTTGAGGGCATGGTCGGGCCGGCCGAGGGAGACGTGTGTGCTGTCCGTATCGGTGTAGAGGGCATATGTTGTAGGTTGCGGATCGGGGAGTTCGTGGACGGCTTGGAGGATGCGGATCGCGATTTCGCCGCGGTTGGCGATTAGAAGGTTGTTTATGGGACGTTGAGGGGGCGGCATAGTTGTCGTGGTAGTAGTAGTATGGGTGGGCGGACAGTGGTAGGTGCTCTATTGCTTAGTTTGAAACCCTTCGTGGGTAGTCTATCTGGCTGGCTATGGTCACGAAGGCATTGCTCTGTTACATATGTACATGTAGGTACCTGCAGCCAGCCATCTCATCCTCGGTGTCGGTGCACCGTGAGCGACGTACTTCCCCACGATTTCGCGGTAAGCTTGATTGCCCGCGTGCCTCGGTTCATTTTTATGTGGGGAAATATACGAGCCATTGGGGAAAGTACCAACGCCTCTCGAAGGACCTCGCTTGTCTTCACAACGCACACGTTGCCATGCTTGTGCTACCAATCAGATACAGCAGACGCAAGGTAGTATCGACCAGGACTAAGACTCTGGACTCAGCCTCACAGCAGATTCTCTCGAGCCAGGAAAGCCAGAACCCACGGCAAGAACTTCTTCCAAGCCGCCCCCGTTGAGGACGAACAGTATGAGCTCGAAGTATCCGAAAGGCAAGAGCGACCCGGTATACAGCCAGGAGCGACCGGCGTCCCCACCAGCATCTGGTCCAGATGGGGGAGCATCCTCCGACCAGACCACCAGCAAAGACGATCCTGTCTATTCACAATCTGGAAACAGGTCTGATGTTAGCGACCCTGTCTACGGCCAGCAGCAGCCAGGACCAAGTACCTCAGACGGTCCACGCCGTGAGAATGCTTCAGGAGGGCCGGATGCCAGGACAGATCCGGTCTACTCGCAGAATGCAGAAAGCTCGGATACTAAGGCCAGTGGAACGGCTGATCCCGTCTACGGACAACCTCAACCACGCTTGTCGCCGTCAGGTGGCCCTCAGCCCAAGCAAGCACAGGGATCGCCTTCTCGCTCAGAGGACCCAGTCTACTCCCAAACAGCCGCCTCTCGCCTGTCCCAACTCACCTCCCAGATAGCACCTACCCCCTCCGAAAGCGCTGCGGCCACTTTAGCCAGCTCGCCTAACACAAAAAAGTCCCGAAAGGCCAAGTCATCGTCCTCGGACCCGGCGTCAACCCTCCCCGCCGACTATTCCGATATCCTCTCCCACGCCTCCACCATGCACACCACCTCCTGGACCCCCGACCTCGAATCCCGCGGCTACCAACGCCAGCTCGCCGCCGGCAAGCTCTGGGCGCGCGACCGCATAAAACAAATCCTCGACCCCTCAACCTGGACCGAGATTGGTTCCCTGACCGGCAGCGCAACATGGCGGCGCGACCCCACCAACCCACAACTCGAATCCGTCGAATCCTTCGTCCCAACCAACAACCCCCAGGGCTTCGGCCAAGTCACCTGCCCCATCTCCGGAGTCAAGCACAGGATCTACCTCACAGCCGACGACTTCTCGATCCGCGGCGGCCACGCCGACGGCGGCAACACGCTCAAGACCGTCTACGGGGAGAAACTCGCTCTGAAACTGAAAACACCAGTCGTGAAACTCTGCGACGGCTCCTCCGGCGGCGGCTCCGTCACAACCATCGCGCAACTAGGGTACAGCTACCTCCCCGACAACAAGATCCTCTGGCCCGCAGCACTACAGATGAACGAGGGCATTCCTAACATCGGCGCCATCGTCGGCCCCGCTATCGGATTGGGCTTCGCGCGGGTCGTGGCGACGCATTTCAGCGTCATGGCGGGCGATATTGGGAGTGCGTTCAACGCGGGGCCAAAGGTGGTTGAGGGGGCGACGTTTGAGGAGGATCTGACGTTTCAGCAGCTCGGTGGGCCGGAGGTGCATTGTCGCAATGGGACGATCGATAACGTGGCGCGGGATGAGGCGGATGTGTTTAGGCAGATAAGGACGGTGTTGGGATTCTTGCCGGATTGTGGGGCGTTGCAGGCGCCGCCTTGTATACCGCCGTCTGATGACGTTCAAAGGGAGGATATTGCATTGCGGAGTATTATCCCGCGGCGGAAAGGGAGGGGGTATAATCCATGGGCGATCATTGAGTCTGTGGTCGACAGGGGCAGCTGGTTCGAGGTTGGTGCGCTGTGGGGTAGGACGGCGATAGTTGGCCTCGCACGCATGGGTGGGAAGCCAGTGGGTGTGATGACACTGAACTGTGAGGTCAACTCTGGTGCCTTGGATCACGGAGGGAGTCAGAAGATGATGAAGCATTTGAAGTTCTGCGACGTGTTCAATTTGCCGATTGTACAATTCGTGGATTGTCGTAAGTCCAAACCCTCTCTCTCCCCGTCCAATGATGATTTTGCTGACGCATTCTTTGCAGCCGGCTACGCGATAGGCACAGCAGCCGAGCGCGCCGCGACGATGAAATGGGGCGTCGAGCTGGCCAAAGCGTATTACAGCACCACCACTCCCATCTTCTCGGTCGTCACCCGACGGTCATACGGCGTCGCAGGCGGCGTCATGACAGACTCGCGAGATCCGATCTTCCGCGTCGCCTGGCCGTCTGCCAACTGGGGCTCACTGCCTCTCGACGGCGGCATCGAGGTCGGCCACCGCCACGAGCTGAAGCTCATTCGAGAGAAAGAGGGCGAGGCGGGATGGAAGCGGAGGTACAAGGAGTTGGAAGACGAGTATGTGAGGCTGATGAATCCAGTAAGGGCGATCAATGCGTTCAATGTGGAAGAGATCATTGATCCGAAGGACACGCGGAAGATTGCGTGTAAGTGGGTGGTGGATATGTATGGAGTGGTCATGCAGGAGCGGTTGAGAGATCGGTCGACGCGGAAGATCGTGCCTGTGTTCTCGTAGCGAGAATATATCGGCATGTCGGGCATTTGCACAGTCCGCTTATCCTGTCCTGACTGCCTTCGTATAAGCTAAACGCCTGGCACTTCTCCGAATGAGCGCAGAAGCCTCATGCTCGTGCTTCGGCAGCCTATCGGAGAGACGAAAGCTTTTTGCACCTAGGCAGAATGTGCGCTTCACATGATAGCGTCGAGCTGAATTGTCGGCCCGGATGAAACTGGTGGTGGTGGTGATGCACACAGTCCATCAACGAAATGTGCTCAGAGATGCCGGGCGGAGGCATGACTGCCACTTTGCGGGCGGCATATGTGCGGAGAAGTCGTCCGCCAATGGATCGACCGTTTTGTAAGCACTCACGTAGCCTTCATTTGACTTTGCCCACCCCAGACAGCGACAGATATACGTCCGTGCCAAATCCATGCATACTTTGTACAGCGATGCCACCACCGAAGTACTCAGCATATGCACGACTTAGCGGCAGACCGTAGCCTAATCCAGCAATGGTACTTTGATCACTGCCACTCTCCGAAAGGGCGTTCAAGCCATCACTGTTACCGTTGTCGACTGACGCCGCATCTTCGTTGCTGAACGTGGTGAAGCTGTAGTTCCAAATATTCGGTAGTGTCTCCGGGGAGATCCCTCCTCCTCGATCGCGAATGCGCAAAGTAATGGAAGGAGCAACGTGATTCAGTGGCTCAACGATGTCCGGATCTGCACAATACTCCTCTAGTCCTGAGAGGGAGTAGTCGTAGGATTTCTCGTGCGACAGCTGAAGTTGCCTCAGAGACTCTAGCTTGGTGCTCGTTGATGGCACATCTGGTGCAGCTGCAATTGTGACCTCTATGGGATGCTTCTCATTCCCAGACTCGATGGTTGCTCGGAAGGCGTTCTTGAGCAGCTCTGTAATGATGTACTCAAGATGCATAGGAATGTGAGCGAACTCGGCGTCTGGGTCGCCATTGATGATCAACGACGGACGCACGCCGTACTTGAGTTCACAAATCTCGCCGACGAAGTTCTGGCACGAGAGTACAATGTCGGCCGGCTTCAAAGCTGTGTCGATGACGCCAATATGGGAGTCGTCGCATTGCTCTTCCGGATGGTCTGTAGACGCTACGTGAAGTGCCAGATGCTGCTCCGCGACAAGTCGAGTGCCAATCCGAGCTCGGAGATGTTGATCCAGAAAGCGAGTGACCTCCACCGGGTCGACGTACTTGCGGCACTGCAAGAAGCCTTTGGCTAACACAGGTATGGTATTCGAATGAGTCCTGACCAGATCGGCCATCAGCTCCGTGAACTTGTACTCATCCTCAATGGTGGTGATCTCACGTGAGTAGAACGGCTCGAGAGTGGACAGAGAGTGCAAATAGTTGTTGTATATCTTGTTCACGGATGGATTCGAGACAACGATAAAGGGGAGATTGCGGAGAGCAGTGATTCGGTGTGCAAGTCGGGCGGGTAATAGAGACAGCGTGAAGTTCGCAGACGCGATCAGTGCCTCTTCTGACAACGGCGGCTTGCCATGTCTGCGCATTCGTCAGTGGGCCAGATCGACTGGGAGGGCACGTGCGTACTTGACCAGATCAGCCAGGGTCAGAGGCCGCCTGGGCCTCGCCGCCAGCTTGTTGATCTCGCTGTCTGGCACAGACGCCTGGGACGGTGGATGACTTGGGAGCCATTGCTTTACACCAGATGCGACCGCAGCAGCACCTTGTGCTCCTCGTCCAACGCCATGATGGAATGCTCTCACTTGTGATCGAGCCACAAATGATCGCAGCATATCTCGTCGTGATCCATACGGACGTCCGGGAGAGGTCGACTACCGTTACAGAGTCCTCCGTCGGACGAAAGGTGAGGATGTCTGTCACGAATGCTCGGCGCGTGTCATAGCAGATCAGAAGCGAGGTCGAGTTGGAGGTGGGGTTGCTAGATCGCTACAGATGCCCATGAAGACATCTTGCATCCTTTCACTCTTGAGCTCTGCCGCTTGCCGTACTTTCTCAACTTCAATGTCGCCAAGTCATGGCTGAACAATGCCACACGTCCTTCAGACACTCGATTGTATGGGAATGTTGCCGTCGCAGAATACCGAGAGGTCGCAGACCATATTGCCCTCCAGTTTCCGCAGGGCTGACGCGCCTTGAGAGCAAATGAGACGCCAATACCGCTATGGACTCACCCTTGACCCAACAACTTCGGCCAGACTCGTTCGAGCCGAAGATAGTCCAGCTCTATCTACATCTCTTCAATATCCTTCCCAACGATGACAGTGAAGAAGAACGAATACCTTCCGAAGGCTTCTGGAGGGAGTTCTTTCTGCTCAAGCCGGACAAACAACGCCTCTACGATCTGCTGGATCCCTTCACAGCCAACGAGACTCTCCATTGCCAAGCCCAGACCCAAGCCTTCTTCAGACGGTGCATACAGGAAGCACGTTCGGATCGATTCCCGCAGAACGAAAATGCTCTCGAAGTAGGTTGACACATCCGCCAAAAGTCGGCCCCACATACCAACACTGAAAAGAACCTGGCAGGATTTCTCAGCGCCATCTTCACCAAACGATATGTGAACCCCAGCACCGACATCATTGATGTTCTTGGTGGGCTTGACGACATCGACAAGCTGGTCTCTGACTTTGTCAATACGCTTGAGGGCATTGTCAGATCTTCTCCCAACCTCGATCTACGTTCGAAAGCTGTCACTTCTTCAATGGTCATGGTCGCTGGAGCATTCCAGACCAGCCTCGTCAGCTACTTTACGCATCGAGACCTTTTCCCAGCTCTGATGAGATATGTACACGACGTCCCAGACCAGGCCTACCAGTCGTTCATTCTGCTCGGAAGTCTGGCAAGCTACAACAAGTTCGAGCAGCAGAACGTTTACGTGAATCGACTCGAAGATTTTGTTGATGAGTCAACTCTACGACTTCTCGTAGACTCTTTCGGCGAGACATGTCGCAAGATCCGAGACGAGTACACGGCAATCCAAGACGATGCCGCTCCCGCTATTACGTTGTCGTCAGCCCTCAGCTTGGTAGGCCTGCGCTCGTTATCACCAGACGCTCGGAAGCCCCCGCCACCGAGCGAAGAAGAAGCCAAGCAGCTCTTCAACGCTCTACCTTCACCACTGGCCGCGAGCTTACTACCAGCCTACACATTCGTTGGCGCAAACAAAATCTTCGCGTCAGCTCTCCTCGCTGCCCCTTCTGGCCCGACAACACACGAAACGCCCCTCGCATCATTTCTCAGCAGCACTTCATACCTATGCCACCACGCACACCGCTCCTCGCGCGCCTCCATCTACGCAATCCTCTCGCTGTTGACTGTCCGCCTCCTCCTCGAGGATACTCTCACTGCTAAACCAATCTGCCATGCAACCTCCCACGCCGTCACCTCAGTCCGCCTCGCTCGTCAGCGCGCCCCTTTCCTCCCAACCACTGCCATAACCTCATCTTCGAGGGCCCCAGCAGCCATCATCCTCGACATCGCAACCGACACCCTAAGCCACAACCTTCGCCGCCGTCTGGACATTCCCCTCTACAGCCTGGCCCTCGCCCTCATTCTGCGCGTCCTCACCACCCTCGCCCCACCCTCGGGACCCAGTACGCGCCTGGCATACCACTGGCCACACCTCTGGTCCTCTCTCCTCGCACTCATGAAATTTGTAACAGTCTATGCTCCCGACCTACAATCCCTCCGCGGCGGCATCACTGAAGAAGTCATCACTCCCGTCGCCGAGATCCTCGCGTTCAGCTTAACCCGTGGCGACGTTTTCCTGCCTGGCGAAGCCGACTTTGACGATTTGTTCTACAAGTTGGTTGAGGGGTACGAAATCCTGCAGAAATTCAGGGATGCGTGGAGTCCCATACCTGCAGCGAAGAACAAAGAGAAAGCAGCGCCGTCCAGAATTCAAACTTCCGGAGCAGCAAGCAGGAGCAGCAAGCTCGCACGCTCAACAGACGCCCTTCTCGCCGTAGCAGGGCACTACCACGACTTGCTTAGCAGCAAGTCCCGAAAACACCAGTCTGCAGCCGAGGTCAAGCGAGTGATCAAAGAAGAAGGGTACGAGGGCGTCGACTCAGTGACAGGAGGGAACTTGACTGTGGTCACCACGCCGGGTGCTTCAAGGTCAGCGACTCCTACTCCCGGGACAGCAGGTGGGCTGGAAGAAGGAGGAGGCTTCGGCCAGTGGCGACCCTGGCGCGAAGTCGAGCACAAAGGCGAAGTCAAACGCCTCGTCAGGGGCGCAATGGAGGACGTCAGGATCTTGGGCCTGCGATAAGTCCTTTCCTTCGCAGTAACGAATCCGACCGACCTTCTGCTACATATACGACGAACAGGATAATATGCTTCCGCTGTCGTACACCAACATTCCGAAGACTGCATCCCACACCACCATGCACTGGCCACTGACTCCTTCCCACCACCTCCCAGTATTCGCCTGCGGTGCAAGGTTCGCTTTGCTCACTTCCCGCTGTTCTGCTCACTTCGCTTGCCATTTAGGCAGCGCCGCAGGCGCTCCCTATGGAGTGCTCGCTACGCTCGCCTTTGCCCTGAGCCA